GTCTGGCTAAGTTACATGTGGTTTCCATATTAGCTTGTTTGGCAGGGTGACCTACTGCAAAGCAGGCTCAGTTACCCCACCAGTCAACCCCCTGGGAGTTATAGTTTCCTCCATATCCATCACTGTTGTAAAAGCCTCCATAGCCACCTAATGAGAGATTTAAAAGAGAGATAAATTAATGAAGTTATCCACCATTAAATACAATCCTTCCCTTAAGTACTTTGCCATCAAGTTTCTATAGTGCTGGACTTCCCCAATGGTTTAATTAAGCTTTGAAAAAGATGACTAAAAGGAAAAAAGCCCTTCCCAAAGCTATGAAGTTATAGATTAACACTACCTCCACCGAATCCTCTGCTGCTGCCGTGGCCACCTCCGCCACTGCGGCTGCTGCTTGCACGGCTGCTGCTGAAGCTGGAACTGCTGGCCCCGCTACTTTGTCGGTAGTCTCTGGCACCAAACCCTCCGCTAAATCTGCTACTATAGGAAAAAAATTGTGTTGGTTCACATGAAGATGAAATTCCACCAAAGTAACCTCTTATATACTTCCCAATGACCAATTTCTAATTTTTCCATTCAAACAATTCCCCATCCAGCCATATTTTCCCCAACAGATACAACTCCTTACCCAAAGAATCTAGGAAGCCTAAGATGATTAAGCTTTTCGAATACTGCAAAGTTAACCCTGGCTGTTATGCATGCAGAGGAAACACTAGGAACTGTAAGTGAACACCCATTCTCCTCATTATATGCCATCTGTATACCTCACCTCTTAGAACGTCCACGACTGCTACCCTTGTAGTGGTGTTCATAAGCCATGTTTTCTAACCAAGATGGCACTTCTTGTTTAGCTTCAACAAGAAGATCCAACAAATCCTTAGTAATGTTTATGTTCCTCTCATTAAAGAATGAGGTTGCCAGGCCTGAAAGAGTTCCCAAAAAAGCATATAAACAAAGGTCTTCCATAAAGTAACTTGCGACTGTTCTTATTTTCTCATGTAGAAATATTTTAAATATTACAATCTAATATTTAAACAAGCAATTTGAGCAAAACCTAACCTTTTTGTCACATTCACTGTTAAAAATATATTTTAGATCCTAGTAAGCTCTTTGCTGCATGCAACACAATGAAAAACAATGAAACCATCAAGTAATCAAATACTTACCAAGGTTTCCTACACGTCCTGTACGACCAATGCGATGTACATATTCTTCAATATCACTTGGCAAGTCAAAATTGATAACATGTTTCACATTTGAAATGTCCAGTCCTCTTGCTGCTACCTGGGAAATAATTTTTATTAGTTATGGCCCACTTAAAAGAAAACAAATACTTGAACATGCTCAACTTGAATAAAAGATGTTTATACATACTGCTGTAGCCACTAGAATTGGGCTTTTTCCTGAGCGGAACTGGTGAAGAGCCTCTTCCCTATCCCTCTGAGAACGGTCTCCATGGATACTTGTACATGCATATCCTTCATGGTATAAGAAATCCTCCAGAGAATCTGCACCCTTTTTGGTCTCCACAAACACTAAGGTCAGTGAATCCTTGCCTATAGTTGAAAAATTACAGGTTTTTATCACTAATATGGCTTAGTTCTCTTTGTACTTACAAAATATGCACAATTTTAATGTGTCAATTAAAATACATATATGTATCTTCTTAAAAACAGGCTCTTAACAGCATGTTTTAAATTGAGAAGGAAAAGTAATGAAGGTAATCCAAATATATTTAAGAGATGGGGGTCTCACTCTATTGCCCAGGCTGGGCAATGGCTATTCACAGGTGACATGACACACTATAGCCTCAGCCTGCCAAGTAGCTGGGACTACAGGCATTACCACTACACCCAGCCCAAATGAAAATTACTCATAATTTTAGCTGGGCACAGTAGTTCGTGCCTATAGCCCCAGCCACTCTGGAGGCTTATGCCTGTCAGAAGTCCACACTAAGTTTGGCATCAACATGGTAACCTCCTGGGAGCAAGGAAGCACCAGGTTGCCTAAGGAGGGGGGAACTAGCCCAGGTCAGAAACAGAGCAGGTCAGATATTCCTGTGCTGATCAGTAAGGGATTGTACCTGTGAATAACCCCTGTGCCCCAGCCTGGGCAACACAGAGAAACCCTCATCTCTAGAAAAATAAAAAACTCATCATTTTACCTGTTGCATTTAGGAGGTCAAGCAGAAATGACCGTTTGTCTGATTCTTCAACCCAAACTACTTTCTGCGTGATGTTTTCAGAGGTAGAGCCAACTCTTCCTACAGCCAAGAAGATATATTCATCTAAGAAATCACGAGCCAGCATCTAGAAGAAAAAAAAAAAATTTTCATTAGCCGCTGAGATAAACAAATTTCTAAATAAATAAAAATTTGCAACATCAAACAGTACCTGTATTTCCTTAGGAAAAGTAGCACTAAACATCATAGTGTGGCGGACACCCTTTGGAGGCATAGTATCTTGTTCAACTATTCTACGTATCTGAGGCTCAAACCCCATATCCAACATCCGATCAGCTTCATCTAACACCAAGTATCTGTTGTGTCACGGGGAAAAAAAAAACCAAGCCTGAGTTTAGAATCTGAGGCGAAATCAAGAGATGGTCTTGGTATGGCTGTTAATATAATTATAATTACCACTGTATAAATTATTACAACTATATATTCATTAAGGTGGTTCCTCATACTGTATAATTTTAAAGACACAGCACAGGATTCTTGCCACTACTGTACATAAGTCATCCAAGATCACATAGCCAAATTAGCTCTTCCTAGATGACTGTCCCATGAGCTAGTCATTCTAAGCCTCCGCCAAGATGTTACTGATTTTTCAACACCAAAATTACAATGAACAAGCTTTATGTAAAAGTTACATGACTGAAATACATCACTTCTCAATCTTAAAATTGGTCAGGAATTCGAGACCAGTCTGACCAACACGGAGAAACCTCACCTCTACTAAAAATGCAAAAACTAGCTGAGCACAGTGGCACATGCCTGTAATCCCAGCTACTCAGGAGGCTGAGACAGGAGAATTGCTTGAACCCGGGAGGCAGAGGTTGCAGTGAGCAGATATTGTGCTATTGCACTCTGGCCTGGGCAACAAGAGTGAAACAGAATCTAAAAAAAAAAAAAAAAAAACCCACCATCTCAAAGAAACAAACAAAAAACATACTTGCAAAAGTCTAATCCAATCTTTCCTCTTTCCATCATATCCACCAGACGTCCTGGAGTGGCTACTAACAAGTGGCATCCACGTTCCAAGTCTCGAATCTGCTGACCAATATCAGCACCACCATAAACCACACAAGGACGAACTCTAGATCGGTATGAAAACTGCAAGCAAAAAAATGTTATGAACTTCAAAGTCAAAATTTTTACACTATCATTTTTACATGATCATAAAACATTTAATTGGAATCAATGAAAAAGCTAGTAATCACTGAAACTCATACTTACTTTTCTGGCTTCCTCGTAGATCTGTACTGCCAACTCTCTTGTTGGTGCTAACACCAGGGAGATTGGGTATTGTTTGCGGCGCCCATACCTTCCATTTTCCTAAAAAATGAGTTAATTTTTAAGTTAACTCCACCTATGCTTTTGTAATTTACAGATTTCAGATTACACTTGAAAACTGTTTTTCATTAGACTGAAGTTCTACAATAATTTCCCATTTTATAAAGAAATGTCTACCTTCATGGCCCTCAAAGCCTCGCCTGGACCATCTGAATAAATCTGACTCAAGATGGGCAAGAGAAATGCTGCAGTTTTTCCAGACCCTGTTCAAAAACAAACAAACAAACAAACCCTGCTCATTACTTTTGAACAGACATTGGTAGATGAGTGTCCCCTGACCCTTTTTTGAGACGGAGTCTCACTCTATCGCCCAGGCTGGATGGCGTGCAGTGGTGTGATCTTATTAGCTCACTACAACCTCCACCTCCCAGGTTCAAACAATTCTCCTGCCTCAGCCTCTCACCATCATGCCCCATTAATTTTTGTATTTTCAGTTAAGACAGGGTTTCACCATGTTGGCCAAGCTGGTATTGAACTCCTGACCTCGTGATTCACCAGCCTCAGCCTCCGAAGTGCTGGGATTACTAGCATAAGCCACTGCGCCCTGCCGATGACAGTGTTTAGCTGCCTTATTACTAGTAATTAGTACTTTTAGTTTATACTCAAATTAAGTTTTCTAAAAAGTGGCTCCTTTGGTCCATCTATGAGAGAAGTGAGCAAACAGACTATTTTTGTAAATAAAGCTCTTATGGAATACAGCCATATCCAATAATTTACTTATCATCTATGGCTTCTTTCACACTCCAGTAGCAGTGCTTGAGCAGCTGCAAAACCACATGGCCCATAAAACCAAAATATTTTACTGTCTAGTGCTTTATAGAACAAATATGATAATGTTTACTCTTACCAGCTGAGCTTACCTGTTTGGGCACAAGCCATCAAGTCTCTTTTCTCTTTGATAATAGGAATAGCATGCTTTTGCACTGGAGTTGGGCGAGTATAACGAGTAAGCTCAATGTTTCCCATGATAATTTCTCCCATCTCAACATCACTGAACTGTTAAGAAATTCAATGGGGTTAGAAATGCCATCTAGAGCCATTTTCTGTTTTATGCTAATAATAGAAATAACCAACAGCTAATTTGTAACTCAGTTTATAGTTGCTTTAAGTAAAATTATATTATACTTTGAGAAAAACGAATCCCCAGGCTTAACGTACATTGGAGAAGACTGTGGGTTCTTCCTATGTTTGACCCATTTTCTATTTCAGGTAATAAATTATTCATAATGGTGACACTGAACTCAACTTCTCCTTTTCCACAAACCTACGAAGCCTTTGGGTCTACATATGACTTTATGAAGCCCATCTCACATTCTAATGTACGATGAAAACATTTACATCTCCCTGTGTCTTAAAAAGTCAAGCAAAAATACTTACACTTTCAATATGTGGAGGACAGTTGTTGCCTGTTGCCTCAACTGGAATGTCATCATATTTCTCAAAATTAATCCCAGTGTTGCCTCCAGAAAAGAGTTCCCTCAAATCAAAAGATTGGTAAATTCATTTGTTATACTAGCTAACAAGGCTTCATCACAAGTAACATACATTTCAAAAACTTACTGTTCCAAGCGTTCACTTGGTGGGAGTGGTTTTGACCAATCATCTTCATCTGATTTGTCACACCAGCGACTGTTTCCACCACGTTCAAATTTGCCAAAGCCACTTCTGTCACCACGGCTGCCAATGCCGTCATAATCACTCCGTCCACGATCATCAAATCTGAACAGCACAAGTGATTAATCAGAATCGCATCATTTAACCATTATCAGATTTCTACCCCTACTCTAGAACTGTATCTGGAGATTTAAGTTATGGCTGACTACAAAGATGTCAACAAGCCAATTCTGAGTTATTTGACAAATAAGGGTCTCTAACCAGTATCATTTGCGTAACCTTTTTCTGAAATAGTAACCTTTATATTTCTATAAAGTTGTATAGCCTAAAAGGCCTCACAGATGCCACAATCAAGAATCAACGTTTTTTGGTTGAATTCCTTCACTTCACAGCTAAAAAAAAAAAAGTATCAAGGTTTTATCTGAAACTGGCACACAGCTCACGACCTTCATTTAAAGTGCTCGTTCGAATATATTTAGTGGTGGGGAAAAAAAAAATAATACACCAAATATCAATCGTCCTAGTTATACTAGGATTTCACTTAAAGGACAATTCACCTGTGTGACAGATTTTGGATAAAAGGTAGAAAATAATCCTTACTTGAACTAAGATGTTTTTAGAGTTTTAGGCCTGTTTGCAAAAAATCAGGACACAGGACTAACCACAGCTATTAGGCACGTGGGGTCAGTTCACCACACTTGCATAATCAAAAATCCAAGGTGTTTAAAAATTGTTACAGAGTACACAAAAATCCCAACCAAATTAGGCCATTCACTAGATGTACTCTTTTAAGTAGAACATATAAAACTCGAGAAATAAAAATAAATAGATTACACATTATGCCAATGACCATATTCCGATTTTCATCTAATTCGACGTAATAGCTTCAATGTAGCAAAAGCCTCTCACATCCAAATAGGTGGTCAGAATAAGAACTTATTAAACTGTTACTATACACACATATAAGGTGAGAAGACAAGAAATCACTTACCTTCCCCTTGATCCACTTCCACGATCACTAAAGAAGCTAGACTTCCCTCTTGAATCACTGCGAGATCCAAAACTGCTATACGCATCCTTATCTTTGCTAGAACTCCACCCTGAACTGTCTTTATCGTAGAAACCTTCAATTAAAAAAGCACAAATCCATTTTATTATTAATGAGAAATAGGAACCATGTTAAGGTATTATCAATCTTTCTGAATTTGAAGGCCTCCACTGACTATCTTATCTCTGTGGGCTTGAGGTTCAATCTCAAGGTATTCCTGCCATGGCACTGTAAGAGAACCAAGATTTAGAGCTGGTTTACACCAAGACAACATATTTAATTACTGTCCACTGGCCGGGCACGGTGGCTCACACCTGTTAATTCCAGCACTTTGGGAGGCCGAGGTGGGCAGATCACCTGAGGTCGGGAGTTTGAGACCAGCCTGACCAACAAGGAGAAACCCTGTCTCTACCAAAAATACAAAATTAGGCAGGCGTGGTGTTGCATGCCTGTAATCTCAGCTACTTGAGAGACTGAGTCAGGAGAATTGCTTGAACCCGGGAGGCGGAGGTCATGGTGCACAGAGATTGCACCACTTCACTCCAGCCTGGGCAACAAGAGTGAAGCTCCGTCTAAAAAAAAAAAAAAAATCCTGTACACTAAATCAAGCAATCTGACAGTCTAAGAATGTTTTTGAATGAATACCACCTCTAAGTGGTCAATAGCTTTGCCTTTAACACATTGATTATGATATTGTTATATGACCATCACTATTTAATTTCCACTCATTTTATAGGTGTGAATTAGTTCACAAGGAAACCATTACCACCGTTTCCACAGTTCTTAGAGGTGATACTCATTTAGAATATTCTTAGACTGTCAGATTACTTGACTTAATATAGTATTTTCTTGTTTCAATAGTATGAAGTACAAGAATACTACTGTCAGCCGGGCGCAGTGGCTCACGCCTGTAATCCCAGCACTTCGGGAGGTGGAGGCGGGTGGATCACGAGGTCAAGAGATCGAGACCATCCTGGTCAACATGGTGAAACCCCGTCTCTACTAAAAATACAAAAATTAGCTGGGCATGGTGGCGCGTGCCTGTAATCCCAGCTACTCGGGAGGCTGAGGCAGGAGAATTGCCTGAACCCAGGAGGCGGAGGTTGCGGTGGGCCGAGATCGCGCCATTGCACTCCAGTCTGGGTAACAACAGCGAAACTCTGTCTCAAAAAAAAAAAGACTACTACTGTCAAATGGTACAATTATTTTAGTGGTTCATCTGTTATAAGCTTGATGACAATCAGGAATACCTGGGAAAAAGGAAAATCCTCATCACTATATATTCTCAGTATAAACAAGGTTCCTGGGTATAGCTATAAATATCCAGGTAAGGGGATGACAAACGTAAATTAGCCCAAAGACAGGTAGAGGGTTTAAAGACAAGTAGAGGGTTTAACTAGCTTCAGCAACACCTTATTAAATAGTCAGTTTCTGAATTCAGTTACTTTCCTTCTGCCTCTTACCTCCTACCATTAGGCCAGTCAGGAGACCAACAACCTTTGCTAGCCAAGAGTTGACTGAGATTGCCATATCTCTTCCAGCTCTAAAACCTCTGTGATGCTGCCATATACACGAGGGTCAATTCTGGTTAGTATACTAGGATGACGATAAAGACAAATTACACAGTAGCCTCCTCTAAAAAAAGAATATAATACTGGCCAGGAGTGGTGGCTCACACCTGTAATTCCAATACTTTGGGAGGCTTAGGCGGGCAACTCACTTGAGATCAGGAGTTCGAGACCAGCCTGGCCAACATGGCAAAACCCCAGCACTACTAAAAATACAGAAATTAGCCAGGTGTGGTGGTGCATGCCTGTGATCCCAGCTACTCAGGAGGCTGAGGCAGGAGAATCGCTTGAACTCAGATGGCGGGATACAGTGAGCTGAGACTGCACCACTGTACGCTAGCCTGGGCAACAGACCAAGGTGCCAACTCCAAAAAAAAAAAAAGTGATCTTCTGGTAGAAATAATACAGATTTTATATCCATGCATCACCAGGTCGGTGAAGCTAATACAGACTACATATAGAGATGGACGAACAGCAAACAATGTGCTCCCCTTTGGACTCTCCACGCTTCCAATCTGCCTTCTTTATCCAGTATCTTCCCTCCTCCTGATCTTTAGTATTCCTGACCTTCCCTTTTCCTCCAAATTTTAGGTGGTCTATTTTACATAATATAAAGCACCGGAACAGTTGTCCCATAATGTGAAACATATACTAGCTATTATCTATCACTACATTACAACTGCAACGGGAAGACACCAGATATTGTAATACATTTTGGACAAAACCTTTCAAAAGCAGGAAGACAGGGAGATGAAATCAAATCACTCCCAACCAATGCTGATAGAACCATAGGGGAAGAACATAATGTTTAGACTTCCCCAAAATGCCTCATTCTCCTTAGGCTTCAACTTCTAAAAATGAGGCAAAAAATAGACCCACGAAGTTACTTGTGAGGACTTACCTTTAGTAGCTTCTCGGTTCCTTAAATGAGGAGGAATATAGCGCCCTTCTAAAAAAATATTTATAAAATTAATTAAATGCCAAATACCTTCCATTTAAATTTCTGCTACTAAAAAAACGGCCCTGGGAAATTAAAATCTCCAGTCTTCCAGTCTGCTTACCTGGAAATTGAGGGGCAGGGGAAGAATCTACTTTAATTTTAAATGGGTTACTGCTTCATAAGGAGAACTCTGAAAGGCGTTTTTAACAGAAAGCTGATTTGGAACCTAATAGTTGAAATCCACAAATTGAACACAATTAGCTACTAGTGGTCATTTAATGTGATTTTTTAAAAAAGGCCTGCTATATTTAAGAGAACTGTCATTAAAAACTAAGAGAATCACTTATAGCATTAAGTATTATTACTGTAATAACCTAAGACTACTCACGTAATTAAATCTCACAATCAGCCACCAAGAGTCTTTGGTTTCTATGCCAGTCAAGTTGCAAAACATACAATAAATATACAAGAAAAAGCTGCAAACGGGACTTAATTTGAAGGTACTGCAGGTTTTAATTCGGGGCTTGCTGAGTTTAAGGAAACTTGATAGTTGTTCCGTATGCAGGCAGAATATAGCTTAAACTATGGTAAAGAAGCAAAAGCAGGCCGGAAGCAGTGGCTCACACCTATAATCCCAGCACTTTGGGAGGCTGCAGATCACCTGAGGTTGGGAGTTCAAGACCAGCCTGACCAACACTGAGAAACCTCGTCTCTACTAAAAATACAAAATTAGCCAGGTGTGGTGGCACATGCGTGTAATCCCAGCTACTCAGGATGCTGAGGCAGGAGAATCACTTGAACCCGGGAGACAGAGGCTGTGGTTAGCCGAGATCACGCCATGGTACTCCAGCCTGGGCAACAAGAGCAAAACTCTGTCTCAAAAAAAAAGATGAAGAAAAAAGAAAAGGCAACGATGCTTTACATTGATCACTAAGTACTACATAATTCTGTAACACAAAGTCTACTGAATTCTTTATGCAGTAAAAACTGAAATGCAGATTTCTTAAAATTTAGATAAGCCCAATGAAATCTTAAGATATTAAGCTCTAATATTCAATACATCCATAAGATGTTTTACTTACTGCTGGCTGTACTTCCTCCACTCTGATTATCTGAAGAGTTCAGGTCTAGGCCAGCAAACTAGAAGAGAGAGAGATGGTTAGCAGCCCGTGTGCTCACATACTATATTAAGACAAAACTAGTCCTGCTAGCATTTGTCAGCACTGCATTCAAGTAGTTGCCCCGTCCACCTCACAGGGTGGATACTCTTAATGGGAATGTGATTAAGAATGCTTTCAAGTTTGTAATGTTCTAAGTAATGCAAAATATTGCCATTGTATAAACTGCAAAAGGCGGCACACCAAGATGCTTGTGCTATCCAGTAGAAACTGTCCAAATTTAATTCATTCATTCAAAATAAATTCTCACTGTAGCCATGTTCCATAGTACAGGCTCCCTAATCACCAAACTAAAGGCTTTACTGAATCTCAAAATTATTCTTAACGGTCAAATAGGTAAGGGATTTTAGTGCCAATCATGTTTCCAATGCCAACTCTCTATAATACTTGATATTTTAAAACTAAAATGCACACCACACCTGAAAAATGTCAAGACAAATTTTGAATTGACTGTTCTTTAGTTCTTTCACCCCAAATACTGCACAAGTATTTTTAGTAGGGTAGTACTAAGAACAACAAAAAAATAGCACTATACCCACCACTTACAGAACACTATGTTAAGCACAAGTCTGAAGTAGTTTGTTTCATTTGTTTCTTTTGCGACAGTCTCTTCCTCTGTCACCCAGGCTGGAATTCAGTGGTATGATCTCAGCTCACTGCAACCTCCACCTCCTCAAGTATCTGGGATTACAGGGGTGCGCCACCACTCTCGGCTACTTTTTGTATTTTTAGTAGAGACGGGATTTTGCCGTTTGTCAGGTCACCTCCTGACCTCAGGTGATCACCTGCCTTGGCATCCCAAAGTGTTGGGATTATAAGCACGAGCCCAGCCTGAAGTAGTTACCTATTCATTCTCCCATTTTAACGGAACTTCAAAGATGACTTTGAATAAATGGCACAACTGGCATTCGATGCTCTTAAAGAGTAGGACATTTTAGTGCCTTTAATCTCTATTTCTACCCATCACCTTATATTGGTAGCTCAAAAGCTTCAACATTCTAGAAAAGGGTTATCTGCTACCTTCATAATGCTTTGTAACTAACCAGGAACTACTAACAAGTAAGGGGTTAAAACTGTAAATGCAGAAAGTGTTTCATTTTTCTCAAAAAAGCCACAAAAGACCGAGTCACACAGTACTGTTGCCAACCTGTTTGCAAAAGACACGCGATACCATGTTCATAAATCGTGTGTTTAAAGCTTAGTATGATACTGCCAAACTGCATGCATCATCAAATGGAGTCACCGAAAATTGGAAGCAGATGCTACACTTTTAAATAAAGTATTTAAAAGATGAGTGTAAGACTTCAGGCACCTAATTTCCAGAATTTCTATGAGCAAAAACACCGTCACGCTCTCTCTTGCTGCCATTAGTTAAGAAACTGATAATTTAAAAGCACAGTAGGAACACAAACTTTATGTACTTGTAAGTACATTTTGCTTTTTAAATAAGGTTCACTGCTGCCTAGAATCCTTAGACACTAGCTAAATGGTAAAACTGGGAATACTCTGTGCTGCTGGTAGATTTTTTAAATGTCTATGTTCAATTCAACATATGAAGTGTCAGCAATTAGAAGATTTAATATAATTGGTTCATTAAACGGGGGGAAATGCTCCCAAAAGAACAGACCGTTCAATGCCTTAAAAATAAATATTACACGTGACTACATTAAAACATATATTCAATTAATTTGTGCCACTAAACTTCATCTCAGGATGATTCCGGAGTTTGTGAAATCAACTCTCTCCTAATCACAGTAGGCAGAAGTTTTATTTAAAGGCTCCGCGTAACCCACACAAGAACTTATCTGAAGCCTGGTGCCACTGTTGCGGCGGGATGCAGACTTCCTGCCACCAAAGCCCATAACCTTCTCCTCTCAGATCACACGTCCTTCTCTCCTCCGCCTCTAAACCCTTAGAAAAGGGGGTTCTGGTTAAGAGAAAATATCTGGGGGCCTCGAACCCACTGCAAGATTTTATTCCACAGGCAGCAACAAGTCCACAACAAAACTGTTTACTTCTCCCCTAAGCCGGGTGTTTTTCCAATGCCGGATTCCTGGATCAAACGTCACTAACATGAAGACACTCCTACAATCTGCGATGGCCTCTCCACCTCAGAAAAATAACGCGCGGCCCCCAGCTAATGGGCCACACAGGGACAATCTGGGGCAAGCAAGGAGGAAAAATAGCCTCGCTGGTTCCCTAACCTCCCCGCCGCGTCCAACCTCCCTCTCCAGAGCCCAGCGCGCAGCGGCCCATTGCTGCCACCCCTCCCCTCCCCTCCCCGCCCCCACTCCTCCCCAATCTTCTGCGTCACAAAACTTTCCACTCCGGAAACGCGGCCTCCCAGGCCGCGGCGCCCGGCCCGCCGACCCTGCGGAAACTGGGTTGAAACCAAAGGGCCGGCGGAAGAAGCTCAAGAGAAACAAGAAGCCCATTCCATCCTCCTTTCCAGGCCCTCGCCCGCCCGGGACCCGCCGTCTCCCGGGAGTGGGCCACAGCGCCGCCCAGCACCACACAAAAGAGGCCGCCGCCATTACCCGGAGCGAAGGCCACCCCCCGCTACCGCGCCGCGCCGCCCCCTCCCACATTCCTGGGCCGCGTTCCACCCCTAGCTCGCAGGCATGCAAACACCGGATGCCGCCGGGTCTCCCGGACGGGAATCCAGGCTGCGCAGCTCGGAGGGCTGAAGCCCTCCAGGCCAAAAGGGTCCCCAGTCGCGTCCTGCCGCGCTGCGCACTCCTCCAAGCCCCCCTCCACCGGGGTCACTCATTAGTCGGGTTTCGCGCGTGCGCGTCCCCGCGAGAGCGCGCGCACTCCCCCCACCCCCCCCACCGCCCGCCTGCGCAAGCACACACAAAAGCCGCCATTGTGCTCGGCCCGGGGACAATACAGCGGGCTAAGCTCGGGCCCTGGCGACAGCCCCAACCAACGTTCCTGCCGTCTCCCTGACCCTCCATAGCCCCGGGGCACCCAGGAACTGTAAAGTAAGGGTGCCGGTTAGCGCTGCGCCATTAGCCGGATTAAGTCAAGGGATTCACGCAGCAGCCAGCCCGGTGGGGTCCTTGCAGCTCACCTGCTGGTCCAGCCCAAGCGCATTTTCCACCGCCACATGACTCATCCCTGAAGAGTACCGAGAACTCGGTGTCTTCCGCTGCTGAGCGAGTGTTTTTGTTCCACCGCGAAGGCCCTCTCACGGGAGAACTGCGGCTCTGGAGCGCACGGCGCGGCCACGGATCTAATATACCCGCTCGAAACCCTGCTACGTCAGCACGTACAGCGTGTGCCCTCCCTTTCACACCGCAATCCCCCGCCGCGGCGACTTCTGCCCAGCTACTGCGCGCTCCCTCAGGTCTAACCTCACGGGATTGCCTACTCAGTCCCGTCGCCCCTCGTCGTCCTGCCTTGGAGCTTTGGGCGCCAAATGCTGTCCCAGTTCTCTCGAGCTACACTTTCCCTGCTCTCTGCTAAAACCCTGTTCTCAGCCTCCGAGTTCTCGAGATCTCGCGAGAATTGGAGTCTCCCGCTTTCCGCCAGCTAGGGGGCCTGAAAATGTTAACCTAGGCCTTTTCGCTCCCCTTTCCAACCCTAAGCCCTAAGCACTCAGCTTTCGTTTTTCCTTTTTTTTTTTTTTTTTTCTTTTGTCTAACAGTGGCCTTCACTCTCCTTCCTCTCTCAGTCCCCGGGCTTGGAGATGTGATGGGATTTCTCCAGTCTAATCTGCCCTCGCTCTTCCGCGTGTAGCCTCCTCGAAGTCGGAGCTAAGCAGAGTCCCAAAACCTAGAGGGCGGCAGGCCACGTGACCGCAGGTGTCGCGCGCGGTGGCCATTTTGTGAAACAGGAAACGGTGGCGTGAATATTGAGTGCTCGGGACGAGGGGGAGGGGTGGGAAAAGAAGGAGAGTAGAGAGGGAAGTGGAGGGAGGAGGAGGGGGGAAAGGAGAAGGGGGGAGGGTAGGATGGTGACCTGGGCGGGAGTCGGGGGGAAATGGAGGGGAGCCGGCGGCGCGCGCTGGTGGCCCGACACCTCTCTGCGCGGTTGCCTAGGCAGCGGGGGGCGCCGCCTAGAAACACACAATGGCCCCTCCCGCCCCACCCCCCGACGTGTGCGCGCGCGCCCCCGCCCCCCTCGGTGAGGGAACAATGAGACAGTCACGCGCTGATCCGGAGACGCCGCTGGCGCGCCCTCCCGGGACCCCAGCTCTCCGCAGGAATGCGGGCTACATTTGTCCCTAGTTTCCTCCCGCTTGGGGCCCAGCGGCTTAGGGCCAGTGGCCACCGGTACTGCGGAGACCCCGGGGGTGGCAAACGGCTTTTTTAGGGCTCAAGAGTGTCGGGAATTTTTGTAACTGGTGCAACCTGGGCCTGCCGGAGGGGCTGCAACGGGGTTATCGGCCTGGGCTCGGGGTGACCCTTTGGCTGCTGCGGTGGATAAAGAACGGGAGGAAATGGGTTTCTGTCGTCGGAGGAACCCCTTCCCGTGGCTCCTTTCTAGGCAGGCCACCCCAAGTCTCGCCTTCGGTGCCGCAGACCCTTAAATAGGAGAAAACGTGTTTACTAGTGGATCCCCGGCTTTGAGCCGGCGGCCGCACATCCGTGGTTTCTTTTGACCGGTTTCCCCTCTCTCTTCTGACCCTCAGCCCGACGGAATTAAATAAAACGCAGTGGTTTGCACAACCCCCCCCAAAGGGTCTTCTGCTACCAGATTTCAAATAGTTCGTGCTCATCACATAATTTACCGTACACATAACTTCTCTCCCTTCCCAGTTTTTAAAATCGAAACGGAAATTCGAACGTGACAGGGAGAATATCACACTGTGTCGGGGCAAGTTGTTTAACGGCTTTGAGTCTTAATTTCCTCATCTATAAAAGGAGTCAGCTACATTCCATAACCCTGTGAAAGACCCAACTTCTCCTTTTCAAAACTAGTATTTTCTAACGCCCCCTTTAACCATACTAAAATAACAAATCATAGGTAATATAATGTGAACCTACAGATAATTTCAAAGAACATGACTTATTAACAAACGAATGCAAAATGATTATAATAAAACCATATGTATTTTAATATGTAAATGCCCCCGCATCAGTTAGTGTAGTTAGCTACACTAATTGTTGGTAAGATACTTGCCCAGTAGAGCCACAAATACAAACTGGAAAGGTGTATTGATTTCACAACTCAAGTTCTATGAGCAACATTGCTACTGGGAACCTCAATTTCCAAAACAATGAACTATTAATAATGTTTGAATAAAACAGTACAATCTTCCTTCAATCGAAACAGTAGTTCCATTTGTGGAAAATTCAGGATCTATGGAAACTGGGCAAAGATATTTTGTGTTCCTTCGTAAAACAGGGTTAGTTCTAAGCTTAGATGATAATGAACTAGTTTTTCACCGACATCAGTGTCCAGCGGTTCCGTTCTTCGCTGTATGGGACTGACCAGCATCACAGAGCATCCTGGCATGCCTGGCTCCTGCCCACTAAATGCCAGTAGCCCTCGCCAGTCATTGTGACGATCAGAAATACACAGATGTCTACAATGCCCCTTTGAGAGCCACTAGGTTCAATGATCATTAAGGTCCCTTCCTGCCCAGAGATGAGTGGATTTTCATGGAGCATTGGTGAGGGACCTCGGTTTTGTTTCAGTTTCGTTTTCCTATGAACCAGGGTAAACATGAATCATGTTCAAAAACAGTTGCGACAGCTCTTCAAACTGCATATAGCAACAACGGGATGTACTGACTACCCTGGTTCTGGGCTTGGTTTTACTTTAGAGTAGAGCCGAGTACAGGGTACTGCCATGGGAGTACCTAAAAAGAATTAAAATATACAGCAGTTCCCTATTTTCAATTAACCCCTGCTCAGAGGCATACTCGGTTCAAACCACCAGGGTATTTTGTTAATCAATATATTATAATTGGAAAATCCAATTGGAGAGGAAGCGGGAAAACATACAAAGCTTTGTCTTCAAACACAGTCACTCTGAAAAAGAATGATGTGCACACTTGAGGCAGCTAAATAAATGAGCCAACTTTTACAGCACTCCAAATGACTTTTCCATTAAGCAGCATTTGCATATCTTCTCCACATGGCAGTTATTTGCAACTTTTATTTGAAGTGACCTAAAAAGGGCTAGAGATGGCTGAAACCAGAGAAGTGTTTTTGCACGGTCCCTTTCTTAATGTTTCCAGGCATTTTGAGTGCTCATATTGGTGCGAATGTACTTCCTGCAACACCACCCCATCCCTCTTCCACCCCCATCCCTGGAAGTAGCGCAGTGAACCAGAGCCTAAGAATTGCAATTCCTCTAACCAGCAGTTCAGCTCCCTGCTTACAGGCACGGGGCAACTCCCTTGACAGTGTCTCGGCTTCCTTATTTATAAATTTAGAATAAAAGTAGTCCCTGTCGGCCGGGTGCGGTGCCTCACGCCTGTAATCCCAGCACTTTGGGAGGCCAAGGCGGGCGGACCACTTGAGGTCGGGAGTTCGAGATCAGCCTGACCAATATGGAGAAACCCCGTCTCTACTAAAAATGCAAAATTAGCCGGGCGTGGTGGCGCATTCCTGTAATCCCAGCTATTCGGGAGGCTGAGACAGGAGAATCGCTTGAACTCGGGAGGTGGAGGTTGCGGTGAGCCGAGATCGCGCCATTGCACTCTAGCCTGGTCAACAAGAGCGAAACTCCGTCCCCCTCCCCTGCCCAAAAAAGTAGTCTCTGCCTCTGAGAGTGTTTGGGATTCAAGGGCTTGTGCATGAATTGAAAGTGCTTTTTGAGGCAGGGCATGGTGGATAATGCCTGTAATTCCAGCGCTTTGGGAGGCCTAGGCAGGCGGGATCACTTGATTTCAGGAGTTCCGGCGTGGTGACGCGCGCCTGTAATCCCAGCTACACCAGAGGCTGAGGTGGGAGAATCGCTTGAGCCCAGGAGGCGGAGTTTGCAGTGAGCTGAGATTGCGCCACAGCATTCCAGCCTGGGCGACAGAGTGAAACCCCCGTTTCAAAAAAAAAAAGGGGGGGGTGGGGGTGAGGGAGGAGAGGTAGTGTTTAAGTTTTGTTTTTTTTAAAAAAAGTGCTTTGCAGGGAGTAAGAGCTTAGCACCAGGTAGCATCTGGATCCACATATACGTGTCTAGCTCCCCATCCTCTCAACTCCCCTAGTAGAGGAGGTTGCTCTGTGCACTGAGCTCCCACAGTCTCCACTGTTCAAACCGCCATTGTAATTCCGTGTGGTACTGCAGCTGTGTGTGAGCCCACAGAGGACAGAAAATTTGTCACACTTCTCTATGCAGGGTGGAGACTAAGATAGACTAAAATTACGTGATCGCAATGCACCTAAATAATGTGCCCAAGTAACCTAAAACTTGGCACAAAGATAAGCTATTCCGAAGCTAGAAGAAAAGGAGATGTAAAAGGGATTCCAAGAGATAGGTAACTTAAAGCCTTTAGTGAACTTCATAATTGCCAGTCATTTTTCTGCAAGGTCCAGGGGAAGGGCCAGCTAATTCATACTTTTCTTTAGGGTGGATTTGGAATAAAGTTCAGACATGGAACTTCCCTATAATAAGGATAATCATAGGTGTGGAGGTAAATGCAGTTCCCTACTTTCTCTCGCTCGCTTTTTTTTCTTTTTTTCTGAGAATCTCGCTCTGCCACCCAGGCTGGAGTGCAGTGGCGTGATCTTAGCTCACTGCAACCTCCACCTCCCGGGTTCAAGCTATTCTCATGCCTCAGCCTCCCAAGTCGCTGGGATTACAGAAGCCTGCCACAAGCCCGGCTAATTTTTGTATTTTCAGTAGAGCCGGGGTTTCACCCTGTTGGCCAGGCTGGTCTTGAACTCCTGACCTCAAGTGATCCGCCCACTTTGGCTTCCCAAAGTGCTGGGATTACAGGCATGAGCCACTGCACCCAGACCTACTTATTCTCTTTTTATGTTTTAAAATGTCATAGCCTTTTTGGGCTTGTTCATTTGTTTGCAGCTTCCGATAAAGCAAATAATCAGATTTATGATAATTAGGAGAATGTTACTATGGAGGCCAATAAAAGTTCTAAAGGGAAAAGCAGAGATCTTAGGCTCTAGGATGTTGCTGTAAGCCCTTCTACTCTAGGCTGGGGTCTGGTCCATACAAAACTAGGAATGTTTTACACAATTGTTATACTCCTGAACAGCAGATACAGCCTGGAATCTGCTTTCCTTCCGCAAAGAAGACAAGACCAAAACCAAAACTGTAGCAAAGGGCATCTTCTCTACCACTAAAATTGGCAAAAATATTTTCAAACAGCAAAGCTTAGTGCACTTCTGCCTTTGTTCATGCAAAGTGAACGAAGACTGTAGTCTTGGAAGTACAGTGAAGGAGGCTGAGTCACATGCCCTCAGGAGGCCACGCTGCCTCTTAGGTAGTAGGAACATTTTTAGCAGTCACTCTCAGGTGATACAGAACTGAAAGCCTGGCCATACCTCACAGGGATGCAGGCTGCATAGCAGTCCCTTGTTGAAATTTTATACTCCGTACTTCAATTCACTCTCCCCTACACCTTCCTACTTACAGATAGATTATTGCTGTTATTGTCCTACGGACCTTGATGTCTATTAGATTTAGTCAGACGGAGTTTCACTCTGTCGCCCAGGCTGGAGTGCAGTGGCATGATCTCGGCTCATCCGCCTCCTGGGTTCAAGCAATTATCCTGCCTCAGCCTCCCAAGTAGCTGAGATTACAGGTGCACGCCACCACACCCAGCAAATTTTTGTATTTTTAAGTAGAGACTGGGTTTCTCCCTGTTGGTCAGGCTGGTCTCGAACCCCCGACCTCGTGATCCGCCCTCCTCAGCCTCCCAAAGTGCTGGGATTACAGGTGTGAGCCACTGTGCCCGGCTCATTTTTAAAGTTTTTAAAGCTTTTTCATGGTTTTAACTTTGATTTATTTAAAG